CAGCTCCACATGTGGAGCCGGCCAGCAGCTCCACATGAGGAGCCGGCCAGCAGCTCCACATGAGGAGCCGGCCAGCAGCTCCACATGCGGAGCCGGCCAGCAGCTCCACATGTGGAGCCGGCCAGCAGCTTCACATGAGGAGCCGGCCAGCAGCTTCACATGTGGAGCCGGCCAGCAGCTCCACATGCATGGCTGAACATGTGTGGGCCGTACGGCGCCGACACGCAGGGCGCTGTAACACGACATGCATCTCTCTCTGCGGACCCCTCCGGTCACACCTGGCTGAACAACCGTAATTAACCCTGATTTCACTTAGCGGGGACACACACACACACGCTCACACACACACAGACCTCGACACAAGGCCGGGGAAGCTAATAAAAACAAAGCAATAGGAGCATGACACATTTACACAAATTACACACGTGTGTTGAGTTTCCTTTGTTTGCAGCGATTCCCCCGACACGACGCTCAGCTGACGACACCTGAGCTTCACACACAGACACACAAATATGAGCCCTTTTATAAAAATATTCACCGAGGTAAGCAGACGCTCGGGTGGTCTCGGGGGTCCGCTCTGTGTGTTCTGCTAACAGATGGTAATGACAGTTTTTGTCCCTGGATGATCATTCCATCAAAACAGCAACACAAACACACACACAATCACACACTTCAGCCTGCCTTCAGATTGAAACATCCTTCACTCCAAATAAGGTCAACGGCTGAACGGAGCAGAGACTCACAACGAAGAAACACAAGTGTTTGATTCAGAAAAGCAACAAAAGCTTTAGTTTTTACTGAAACTCTGCCCTTTGGCTGCTTTTTGGCTGCTCTTTGGCTGCTCTTTGGCTGTTCTTTGACTGTTCTTTGGCTGTTCTATAGCTGTTCTTTGGCTGTCTTTTGGCTGTTCTACGGCTGTTCTTCAGCTGTTTTTTTAGCTGTTCTACAGCTGTTCTACGGCTGTTCTACAGCTGTTCTTTAGCTGTTCTACAGCTGTTCTACAGCTGTTCTCTACAGCTGTTCTACAGCTGTTTTACAGCTGTTCTTTGGCCGTTCTACGGCTGTTTTTTAAGCTGTTTTTAAGCTGTTTTTTAGCTGCTCTTTGGCTGTTCTTTGGCTGTTTTTTGGCTGTTTTTAGCTGTTCTTTGGCTGTTTTTAGCTGTTCTTTGGCTGTTCTTTGGCTGTTCTTTTGCTGGTTTTTGGCAGTTCTTTTGCTGGTTTTTGGCTGTTCTTTGGCTGTTCTTTGGGAGTTTTTTGGCTGTTGTTAGCTGTTCTTTGGCTGTTTTTAGCTGTTCTTTGGCTGTTTTTTGGCTGTTGTTAGCTGTTCTTTGGCTGTTCTTTAGCTGGTTTTTAGCCATTCTTTGGCTGTTCTTTTGCTGTTCTTTTTGCTGGTTTTTGGCTGTTCTTTGGCTGTTTTTAGCTGTTCTTTGGCTGTTTTTAGCTGTTCTTTGGCTGTTTTTGGCTGTTCTTTGGCTGTTTTTTGGCTGTTGTTAGCTGTTCTTTGGCTGTTCTTTAGCTGGTTTTTAGCTGTTCTTTGGCTGTTCTTTGGCTGGTTTTTGGCTGTTCTTTGGCTGTTCTTTGGCTGTTTTTTGGCTGTTGTTAGCTGTTCTTTGGCTGTTCTTTAGCTGGTTTTTGGCTGTTCTTTTGCTGGTTTTTGCTGGTTTTTGGCTGTTCTTTGGCTGTTCTTTGGCTGTTCTTTAGCTGTTCTTTAGTCAAACTTGAGTCAGGCTGAACCTCAGATCAGAAATGAGGAGGTAAATAAAGAAAGAACCGGTGGATCTGGTAAAACTTGACTGTTTTAAATTAAATTCTTTACATTTTGTTTTGATTTGTTGTTTGTGGGACGAGGGTCTGACGTTAAAAACATTTAAAGGAGGGTGAGTTGCAGGAGAGACATTTATTGTGAGTCCTGCTCACTTCTCTGATTCTCTGTGTCCAATCCTAAACAACAATCACACATACACACACCTACACAACAACACAACCACACACTCGACCTGAGTGACATCACCACCAACCTTTAACGATGAGCTCGGCGTAGTTGGACACTCCGGAGCCTCCGTCTGAGCGGATGACGCAGCGGTAGCGGCTGGTGCTGCGCTGCGACGTGTCTCCCACGCTGACCGTGGCCGAGAAGCGCCGGTGGTTCACCACCCGGGTCACCATCAGCGCCGTGTCTTTACCGTTCCACTGCTGCGGGGCGGAGAGGCAGGACGAGTCAGACAAGCTTCACAAACTGGGATTAAAAATTAAAACACAGATTTAAAATCAGAGGCTTCTCTGAAGAGCTCCGTTTCAGGAAGTGTTTTTAAATCGACTCTGATTTAGAGTCTGGAAACGATGGCAGGAAGCAGGAGCAATTTGCTCCGAGCAACTCAGACATGAAATCTAAAAGAGCGCCGGTGCCACTTTCTGCTTTGCATTTTCAGATCCAATCTTTATTTAACCAGCACCTTATTGGAGCATTCAGGAAAATAGACTTTCCCTAACAGAGCCTCAGCAGGCAGGGTTAATGCTCTCCAGTGGGACAGCCATTACTGTGGCCTGCAGGGTTCTAGTGTGGCGCTGGACAAACTACAACACGCAGCTGCCAATGCACATGCATGTAAAATAGAATGAATACATTGGATCTGTGCAGGTACACAAAGAAAAATAAAAAATAAAAAGACAAAAGCAGGAGATGGAATCAGTGGAGCGAAGAAAAACAAGGACTTTAATTCAACCCAGAGAGCTCAGAAAGATGGAGTTTTTAACCACTTCCTTTCTAATAAAACTGTTTGAACAAATCTGCATTTGTTGAAAACTGTTTTTCTGCACTTACCTACAAACAATTCAAACTATTAAAAGTCAAAAATAAAACTTACAAATTGGTACTGATAATAAAAAGTTTAGATTTATCTCCAATGAGCAAACCCAGATTAAAGTAGACGTATGATGCATTTAAACTATGGGATAAATCTTGTGTCAGCAGGAACTGAATTTGAATTGTTCAGATTGAATCTGAATGTTTATAATTTGAAATTGAACGCATTGGTTTGAAAATAAATTTTATTAAACTGAAACTGAATTTAAAGTTTTGTATCTGAATTAATTTGCTTTGAAACTGTATTTTGGTTTAGTAAAAATTCAGTTTGACTACTTTCACTTTCAGTTCCATAATTCAGATTTTTGTGTCACATCCTGGTCCTTGAGAAAGCCAGGCAGAGTAATCAAACACAGATCCACAGATTTTAAATTTCACTTTGGTGAAGTTTCCCTTCTG